TATAAACATTTGACCACTGAAACTCTTTTATTATGTAATTGCTGTTTGTAATATTAAAGTTATTTTATAAGTCAAAATATAGTAAAAATTAATATTTATCAACTAGATGGGTATTACACGCACATATGATGCAGTGGAATGTTTTATTCCCAGCCCATCTTTTGCCAGAAGGGAAATAAGTGCCGCTCTGAACTCCATATCCTGCATCTTCTTTTAGATGAGACAATCTTTCAAGCTAAATCAGAACTTTTTTAAAAAGAAACGATTTTGATTAGGTTGACATGCTCAGAGACACGATCTTCCATGCGTCAAATTTCATATTCCCTCCGAGATAAAACAATTGGGTGAATGTTTCTCGCTGATCTCTCCTGGGTTGCTGTGATGGTTTTCTGCCTGTTAGAGCATGCAGGGTTGCTAGGAGCTCAGAAACCGTGGCATCTCTTTCTCTCTATTACCATTTCTCTCATTCTGCCGTCTCTGAAACTCTACCCTTCACCTGCTGAAATCTCTCTCTCTCCTGCACTCAGTCTCCCTGTTATTCTCTTTCATTCAGGAAGTGACTAATAAAATTCCATGGGCATGTTCCAGCTACCCAAAAGTCCCCTGCAAAGACTTCACGGGGTATTTGACCACCTCAAGCAAGATTCCAAATTGTAGGAAGTGTATATGTTTATTCACTGCTAAAGATGTGGGAGCAACTGGATATCGCCTCTTTGGAACTATAATTGGCTCAGTGTAATTGTAGTTATTAAATGTTTCACTGTATTATTATTTCTAACAGTTTTTTAAGCATGTTATTTAAAGCAATATGAACGTTTCTGAAAGATTCATGAAATAAGACTTTGTGATATTTTAATAAATAGTATGCGGACATAAGCAAATTAATATAAAATAATAATATAATATATTATTGTTTTTGTTTTTTGCTTTTGGAAAGGTAGGTGATACAGTAAACGTTGTTTCATGTGCCGTTAATGTTGTAAAAGTCAGATTGAACATTATAGTCTATATGAGCACTTTGCCATTAAGACACATATGCATTATAATTTAACCAAATCACATATATTTTTATATTAAACATTGCAAAAATCATATAGCACTACATTTGCGTATGAAAAATCATATGAATTTAAATTTTATAATAATAATTTTGCCACCATTCTAAAAGTTTGGGCTCGGTAAGTTTTCTTTAAATTTGTTTTTGAAATAAAAACAATAATAGTATGAAACTATTAAATAAATAAATAAAATTGTTGTTTTCTGTTTTAATACATTTTCAAATGTAATTTGTTCCTGTGATGCAAAGCTGAATTTTCAGCATCATTACTCCAGTCTTCAGTGTTGCATGATCCTTCAGAAATCATTCTAATATGCTGATTTGATGCTCAAGAAACATTTCTTCTTATTATAAGTAATGAAAACAGTTGTGTTGCTTAATATTTTTGTGGATACCGTAATACATGTTTTGTGATTCTTTGATAAATAGAAAGTTTAAAAAAGAACAGCTTTGAAATATATAAATATATTTTTTATGTTTGTAATATAAATATTTTGTAACATTATAAACGTCTTTACCTCACTTTTAATCAATGCATCCTTGCTACATTAATTAAAATGAGTTTTGTTGTTTCTAATTATTAACACATGTATATGATGTCATTATACCCAGAATTGTCGGTTTAATAAGGTTCCAAATAAACATATTTTATTCTGCTTGTCTGCACAAGCCCTGCTCAGTGTGAACGCTGCATAGGGACCCGGTGAATCAGAACGCAGCTCTGTCTTCTCTCTCTCCCTGTCTTCTCTCAGCATGACAGGTAGAGGTTTGTAATTGTATTTAAAGCTCTCATTTGACTCAAGCCCCTGGTGGTGAAGAAGACATCCATCAGTTCAGCATCTATTTCAGCCCTGCTCCCAATTACAACCAGCATGAAAATAAACAGAATAAGAGATGAGGAGAATAAGACTGACCCATGCAGAGCTTTGGCTTGCCTGCCTTCCTTTTCAGATCACTTTGTGAGACACACTTCCTCCAGAATTCTTGCTGTGACCCAGATCAGTGGCGCTTCAACAGAAATCCTGTCCTAAAGCATCTGTCTGATGGTGAAAAGCCAAATACACAGCTTTGGATCGCTGTTATGGCTGCCCTGTCTCATTTTTCTAAGCAAAGCTGAGCCGGATGGATCAGCATGGAATTTGTTGGATAAGGATATGATGGTATTTCTTGTGTTTCTGCTCATTTTTTTGACTGTAATTGAAATGAACGCTAGTTTCTGAAAAGTCAGCATGAATCCCATTTTACAATATGTCACAATATTCAACAAACAAAGTGGGATTTTTCCCCCCCATTCCATATCTTTAGTTGCAAAACTTTATATTTCTGAGCACATTTTTAAGAAAGTAAGCAACGTCCATTTTGGTTTCATGTTGACTTTTCAATAATAAAAACAATTATTTGCATTAATTCACTTATTACAGGCATTCAGGGTGTAAATGACAGAGAAATGTTTTGTGACGGTCGTCTCAATGGGTGGCAGAAGCCATTAACGGTGTCGAATCAAATTTCCACTCAATTTAAGTGATATCAAATTACTCTTGAATTGCCATGGCGATGCTTGTATAATCTCCGGTGGATTTACTGTTCATTAGCATGTCTTATGTCGTAAGTGGCGGCATAATCGATGTTGAGCAATCGTAGCCATTACCCAAAGAGCGACTGTACTGAAGCCAAGGCCTCGGCTTCTTTTTCGGTTTCTGTTTGTTTCGCACTTCTCATTCAATTCCTCTGTAAGACCCCACCCTTACAGTACCTTTGTTGGTGCCTGTGTCTGAACTGCGCAAATCAATTTTACTGTGCTGATGATTGTAATGTGGATGCCAGCGGCTGAGACGGAGCACAATTGCAACAGCAAATGACTGCTGCCAGTTGGCTGCAGTGTGAGTGTTTGTGTGTGTCAGTGTTTTTTTCCCTCAATTTGTTCTTATTGCCTGCACACTCCCCTGAGGTACTTGACGTACTCGACGGTTGCTCTATTTTTGCAGGATGAATGTTTGCACCGTTCAAGGGGCAGCTCTCTGCGAAATGTTAGATTTTAAAATTGTTGCTTTTTTTTATTTTTAACCTCACGTTTAGGTAAGCGGCTGAGGGCCGCCTCCTGTGCCTCACCCTGAAGAGCTGTTTTGTTAAAGGGGTCATATGATGCGATTTCAAGTTTTCCTTTCTCTTTGGAGTGTTACAAGCTCTTGGTGCATAAAGAAGATCTGTAAACGCTCAATTGCACCTTTAAACACAGCATTCAAAACTTTCAATCCACACGGCATATTTTGAGATCATGCGCAAAGCATTTCAACAGCCATTTTTACCTGTTCACCTTTGAGTAACTACGCCTATCAGTGCCACTCATGCGAAATCCTCTGCCCCTGCCTTGTATGTGTATTTACGTAATATTTTGCTTCATTTGATGTGGTTTCTGAGAACAGTTTAGAACTCGGAGTGCCACTGAACACATTTCGCCGCATTTAAATTCATTTCACTGAATTTACTTCTTAGACTAACTTAATTAACTTCTAATACTTCTTAGACTGTTCACTAACATGAACCAAGCAGGTGTAAGCTTGAGGCGATGTATTAGCAACAGTCAAATGAAAATAAAATAGTATCCAACTTTATTTTCAGCTGAAATGCATGTGTTATATAAAGATACTTTTAGAGAAAATTTGAAATTAGTTAGAAAATAGTATCTAATTTTATTTTCAGCTGAAATGCATGTGTTATATTAAGATAATTTTAGAGAAAACTAGAAATTGGTTAATAAATAGTATCTAATTTTATTTTAGCTGAAATGCATGTTATATAAAGATAATATTAGAGAAAATTAGAAATTGGGTAGAAAATATTATCCAATTTTATTTTCAGCTGAAATGCATGTGTTATATAAAGATAATTTTAGAGAAAGTTGGAAATTGGTTAGAAAATAGTATCTAATTTTATTTTCAGCTGAAATGCATGTGTTATATTAAGATAATTTTAGAGAAAACTAGAAATTGGTTAATAAATAGTATCTAATTTTATTTTCAGCTGAAATGCATGTGTTATGTAAAGATAATTTTAGAGAAAATTAGAATTTGGTTAAAAGGATGATTTAAATTGGAAGACCAAAGAACAGAAAATGATGAGCTGGACTTTATGTAATGATCATGATTGTTTAAGTGCATAACACATTAAATTCTAAGCAAAAAAAAAAAAAAAGTATTATTATTATTAGGTAATAATATTTTATGTATGTATGTATTCATTTACTCATGCATTCATTCATTCATTTTGTAATATATTATATTACTTTTAAATGATTTTTTTTTTTTTTAGTATAGACGGGAAAATTAAGTAGATTAAGTCTAAAATAAAGTCTAAAATAATTGCTGCAACTGTGTATAATGTTAGAAACAAGAGCAGAAAATCATGAGCTGGCTCTGTAACAATTTATTAAAATACATAAATTAAATTAATAGCAAAAATATTATTATTATGTAATATTTTATATATAATTTTTTTTATATTATGTTAAAACAATCTTTATTTCAGAGGTACAGGGGGAAATTAAGTAGCTGGAGTGGCTGTGAAATGTGAAAGGGAAAAAAACCCTGAAAACAACAAATTCTTCCAGTGTTGACAACTGTATTGATTATAATGGGTGTGATTAATTTAGTAAGTAATAATGGGTTGCATCTGGTGCAAGTTACCTATAGATTACCTACAGATAACTTTTCAGTTATGCTAAATTACTTTTCCTCAAGTGTGAAAGCAAGGTGTAAAAATAAAATGTAAAGGTGTTAAAAAAAGTAAATGTAAAGTGTCAAAATATAAAAAGGGAATTTGCTGTGTACCATTTAAAATATTGTCTAAAGTCTAAAATCCTGACTCTTTCAAATGCAGTCCCTCAAGCACACAAAGATTAAACTAAATCTGTATTCTGACCATCCTTTTCTTTCCTCTCGGGCAGGTATTTCGCAGTGGAGAGGGCATGGGTATCAGGCTGGACAGCGCATCTGCTTTCCAGGGTGCTGTCATCTCCCCTCATTACGATTCCCTCCTGGTGAAAGTCATCGCCAGTGGAAAGGATCTGCCGGCGGCCTCTGCCAAAATGAGCCGAGCTTTAGCAGAGTTCCGTGTCCGGGGGGTCAAGGTAAGACTTTTCTCGAAAACAGTGCTTGCATAAACGATCAGGGGCAGCCATGAGTGCGATCAGTGGGGACCTTTGGATATCAGTTGCACCTTTAAAGGTGATGTGGTGTCAAAAATGATCTGAAATTGTGTGTGTCATTATTATAGTGTGTTGGTCAAATGTTTTTTTTTTGAGCAAATATCATGCCTTCAGTCAATTCCTTTAGATAAAATGAAGTTATGAAACTTACCAGCTTAGCTCATGAATATTAATGATCATCTAATTAATATTCAGTAGGCTCAGTAGTTCCATGCTCTCACCCTCATATAATGGCAGCTAAGCTCCTGGTCAGAGCGCACAATGCCGAAAATGATAACTTTCTCTGGAAAGGCAAGCGTGACAGGAGCACTGGAAGCCTGACATGACAAACTGAGACAGAGTACGTGATCAGACGAGAAGTGGTTTATTTCCGTGATAGAACCTGTGGATTCCCTTTCCCCTGTTAAATGTGTTGTTCTTTTGAAACACATCTGAGCAGCAGACACTTCACGGTCTTGTCACCCATCATGCTGCCTGCCATCTGAGGCTCTGATCAGGTCTTGAGTGAGCTGGAGCTAAAAACATTTCCGTTTTGAAGATCTTCCCCCCTCTTTTTTTAATCTCCCACACATAAACCTGAACACACTAGATGAGTCACATTAGACCATGCACGTATAATATGAATTTATCAGCATAATGTGATCAGAGTTGAAGTAATGGCACTAATGGCACTCTCGGATAAAGGGTGCAGACCTCACCATTTTCTGAGGACGGGATGGGTGTAGATGAGAGAAGTTGTCATGGAGTGTTTGCACTTAATCAGCCTGAATAAAATAAATGTGTTTACATGAACCATTAGGGATGGAGCTTTTCCTGTAAGCATCTTCAGAAATTAGTTTTGGAGACTATGAAGATAATCTGTCTTTGTTTTGCCCGCTTTAGTCAAAGAGTATTCAGAATTCTGCATTTTACTTGAGATGAAACAAGGATATACACTGTAAAAACTAGTGAGCTGCCTGTAAAGTGGAGAATTTAAAGGAATGGTTCACCCAAAAATGAAAATTGTCTACATTTACTCCCCATCATGCATGGCAGTGAGGTCCCCGAGGTCCAGACCTCTGTATTGTTCTGAGATGTATATAATAAAAGTTATGAAAAATTGCCTAATATTAACTCCAGTTTTGTGCTGCAGGGCTATTGTGTAACACCAAGATCATAGGCTTTCTCATTAACATGCCTCAGTGCTAGTGGTTCAACGGGATCACAAATCTCACGGTTCGGATCACATTACGGTTTTTGACCCACAGATTGGATCGTTTTTCGGATCTGCAAAAAAAATAAAAATATTTCAATGCTTTCCATTTATTACTTAAAGCAAAGTACTTCTTTGATACCACAGCAAATACTACTAGATTAACTACACAAAACTGGTTGCGTTTACCTGAATTATGGTCGAGATGGGTATTTTGTCATAATTGTATGTGTACGTGTCTGTTCAGAGGATTCAGAAGAGGATTCAGTTCGGTGTTCGCGCACCGTCTGTTAAACGTATGTGTCCGCTTCATGTGTGTGCGGCTGTGCAAATAGAGAACAGCGCGCGAGTAACGAATCGAGTTTCCCTTTCGCCTTTTTTCTCTGGAATTGTTTAAAATTCGCTTGCTTGTGTAAATACGAACAAATGATAAACTTATACTCTATTATGGTTAAATTTTGCAATTAATCCGCGGATCACATGCGTGCCGAACCGTGGGGCTTGGTCCGTACAGATCACGGATCAACTACGATCTGTTTAACCACTACTCAGTGCAAGTCATTGTCAAAATGAAGACTTGAAGATGTCCAATCAAAGTAAAGTAGGTGGGTTAAGCATGAATTCCAGAGCGATGCTTCAGTTGACGGTTATAATGTGCGAAATAAGATGTAAGTAGCTAAACATTTAATGTTTGGCAGCTGTTTTACAATAGATATGGTAAATGACTGGCAGAATTAATCGGGGATTCAAAATAATAAACTGTCTAATTTCCCTATTTTGAACTTAAAATATATAACTTATGTGATTCATGTAATTTGTAATTGTCAATGTGACAAGACAAGAAACATTAACAGCCGTTTTCAGCATATTATGTGTAAGATTAGTAATGAATGTGCACGTATTGTGAATGAAGTTAATAAACTTTAGTTCCATAGCTTTTCTGGTAGCCTTTAGCAATTTCACTTCTAATATTCTAATAAAATGATTCATAAAACACACATGTAAAAATCAGTTGACCCAATGTTTACTTTCTTAACTGACGGATGAAAATGAAAAGACTGTATTAATCAAAGTTCAGCTATGGGAAAGGAAGAGAAATAGGCCAAGATAAAGAGACTGAGAGAAAAAGAAGTTGATTGAGATGAAGAAAAAGAGCATGTACTTATGGCTTTGGAACAACATGAGGGTGAGTCAGCAATGACAGAATTTAGATTTTTAGGTCAACTAAATCTTTAATTGTAGAAGAATTAATTATGCTGCATCATAAAACATCCAAACCCTTAACGCAGAATTGCGTGTTTCCTTTGCAGGAAGAAAATCCCAGAATGCATTGGCACTCCAAAATAAGATTAAAACTCTGGTTTAATTTGATGTACAAATAAAAAAATATTTGTGTATTTTCATGATTACTGGAGAATCATGTTGTGGGCGTAGCAACAAATGTGATGTTAACCTGTTGCTTAACAGGTCAAGTTTCCCCTGCGGAGTGCTGACAAAGTCAAATTACAATCACATTATTTAAGTATGTTAAGGCCTGTTCATATCAAGGACTATAAGTATATCGATAATTTTAAAGTTTTCTAATTCTTTGAAAATAGGAAAGTCCACACCACAACAATAACACCACAGACAAACTGTATCATTGGAATCAATTGTAGCAAATTAGCTCCAAAGGGAAATGTATATAAATAATTACTATTAATTATGATTAATTACAATTTTTTATATCAGCTGCCAGTAGTAACTGTATAGCAGAATTAAATAGCCCTCAACTAATCTGTTCGTCCAGCGAACATTCAGTGTAAGTTCATATCACTCGTATCGGATGCAGTCTCGGATGAGAGTCTTGATGGTTTGGAGGTTTGGTGGTGTAGGAGTCACGATCACCTTCTTCCGGGTTTGAAGAGTGATATACTCCAAAAAGATGTTATTCTGACTCCGTGGTGGTCGGGAGAGTTTTCTCCCAGATGAAGATTATGAAGAGCTAAGAGAGACGTCAGCTGAGATCCAAGGATCATTGGTGAATGTAAAGACAAGGCCGAAGCCTGGTGCAGACTTAAGGGTTGCAGAAGCTTTCTAGCTCACATCCTCATCTTCTCAGAATCTAACAGAACCGCAAGGCTATGTGTTGGAGCCCACCGGGCACGCCCGCACCGGCTCAGGCTCTCCACACGGGCCACAATCAGAAGATTTTAGCAGAAGACTTAGCAGAAGAAGACCTGGGCGGAACTGTGCGTGAGCCCTTTAAAGTCTGAGAAGATTCACGCCTCTCAGGATGGGCTTGTCCAATGAGAAAGGCTGAAATTCCAAGCGGGAGGTTG